GGTTAAAAACAACATCCAGAGTACAAAAGACAACATCACGTTTATACAAAACAAGCAATACATGAAATTCTCTACTTTATAAAAGAATCAATTCAGATCAACTAAAGTTTTAGACAAACCTCATTAGATACTACCATACTATACAGAAAGCTAAAGTTGAGAACCTTTCTTGATTAAGCTGTGGTTATTACTTAAACAGTCACCCAAATGAAACAGGGGAACCCAAACCAGAAAAGGAAATTAAACAAGAAGATCTGATAAGACTGAAAGTGTATCCAAGTATACAATATCACACCTCGAAACATGCCAAGTATGAATAACTCTGATTAAGCAAGCCAAACCACCAGGCCTAACATGTGCTTATCTCCTTGTTCCTCCACCCCCACCCCCAAACCACCCCAGAAGAAAAAGAAAATTAAATAAAAGTTAATGATCTATAGACTATACATACAGATAAGCATATATGTGTCTACCTTACAACGAAAAATCAGCAAATCTCCTGAAAAATTATTGAGATTTCTGCAATCTTTTTACTGTTACAACTACTACAACAGAGCTGATATTCACCCTGCTGAGGTAATATTAAAAAAGCCTGCAAAAAGAACAAAAAGGACACCGAAAAGAAAATCAATGCAGCAGAATAATCTAAATCTTCCTTTAACAATCAAAACCACCTTTTTTCCAATATATTACGTGCAACAGAACTTAATAAGTGCAGCAGAGGTTTTGGAATCGAATCAAGAAAATCTGAATTCAACCCTTTTGACTAACACCTGAAAATGATGCAAGAAGATCAAGAACTCACCTCAGAACAACATCAAACCAATAGTTATTCTGCATGTAAATATGCAAACACCAAGTACTGTGTTACTGTAGAACTATGGATATATGATAACCTTTAGCATTAAAGTTATAAAAGAAAACGTGAAAAAAATGAAGGGATGGAGAGAGGGATGGGGACTTGTAAAGTGGAATACAACTGGGCTGAGAGAAGAGGAGTGGACGGAAAAAGAGAGGCAAAATGGGACCTGGTTCGTTTGTACTTTGTATATTTCTCAGAATACAATAAGCATAAATTGATACATGTACACCTTGTATATTGTTGTTATACATTTAAATTTTCATTGGCATGATTCTATTTCTGTGGATGGGGTGGGGACTAATTCTGGGGAACTGGGATTTGGCTTTTCTTTTTTTGGGATGGGGTGGGGACCGAAAAGATTTCTGATTCAATAATGTTTTTCTTTTTCTGACATATACATATACATATATATATACATATATAGATATATATATACATATACATATATATACATATATGTGTATATATGCGTGTATCAGAAAAAGAAAAACGTTATATACACCCACACAAACACACATATATGTGTGTTTATACATATATGTGTGTATCAGAAAAAGAAAAACATTATATACACTCACACAAACACACATATATGTGTGTTTATATATATACACATATGTATGTATATATATGTATATGTATATGTATATATTTGTGTGTTAATCACTTGAAAGTGTTTTAAAAACAATTTATGGTCACTGACATCAGCAATATATTTTATAGTTTCTGGAATGCACATATATAGAAATAGATTGCAGTTATGTTAAGAGACTATCACACAAGATTAATGTAGTAATTTTTGGATTAAATATGAGAAAATAAATAGACAATTAAATGTCGAGAAGACCTTAGTCTAGTGACTACGATCAAGACTTTTAAGTGAAATATTTTGAATTCAAATTCTCTTTCCCTGCTAATTAAATCTTATGCTTCCCATGTTAAGAGCAAAAAATAAAGAATTAAATATGAAAAATGCATATCATGTTTCTAAAGAAAATTGAGTATAAACGAGCCAATCAACTTAAAAATTAAGTTTTATTTTCTTAGAAAACAGAGAATAAAAACTTAACCCCCACCCCCTCCAAATAAAAGCTTAAAAACTCAACATATTTTTATTTTCACACGGACTAAGATGCAAGGAAAGAAAGTTTAATAAGTAAAACATCATCGATTTTTTTTTTTCCATTTCTATGCTCTTGGTTATTTGCAAATTTAAATACTCAAAATCTTTTTAGAAAATTATAACATGTTGTTTACTTTGCCTCAAATTTTTGAAAGGTAAAATATATATTTTAAAAAAGTCATTTCTACCTTTTGTTCCTATAAATAAAAAGTCCAATCGAGTTCATAAACCAAACATTAAGTTAGGACACCTGCAAAAGTGCATCTTTTTCTTGAAGAAAAATTTAACTTATATCAAAGGCAAGAAAATAGCATACCTATATAACAAGCAGACAGAAGATTATAGGCTAAATTAGGCTATAAGAATTCTACCGTTACGACAAAAAAAATATATACATATAACAAGCAGAAGGAGTTCCACACTTCCACATATATCTTTATCTAACCTTCTGGCGCAGATTCTCCTTTCCTGAGTAATGAATGAGTGGAGATTAGTTTGATTGTCGATGGTCGGTGATTATGTTATATTAATGTCAATTTTGTCACACAGAGTCAGGATGATCTGTACCAATTTTAAAGTAAAGAAATGTAGGACTAATGACAAATACTCGTGTTAAACTATTTACTTACCATGTATATCAATGAATTAATTGGGCATAGTAATCATTCTATGATTACATTATTATGGATAAAATAATCATGTCATGATTACACAATTATTTGAGCTTGAGAGTCATGCTACAATTGTTTATCCTAGAACTGTTGACGTTCGAGTGAAATTACTATTATTATTTTATTATTATTATTTTTTGCCTCCCATATGTCTCCCATCTCCGACCGTCAGAATTAGGATTCAAACACTAAATATAGATCTCGAGAAAATTCTAAAAGTTCTCCCCTGCACTTAGAGTGAAAATTAGTCAATTACGGCTAACTAAAACAAATTAATCAACTCCCTTTAGCGGAGTTGGCCGCTACCTTTAGTGTGGGGTGTTGAACCCTTGACCTCCCATCAAAAAGTTGCAACTTAACGTGACTTTGCTTAAGATCCATGTGGGTGTTGTGCACTCGTATGGTTCGATGATGGTTTAATTTTCATCGGTTCTCCGTGATCCTGTTGAGTTACATCCTAGTATAGGTTATATTAGAACTAGGAGTAGGTGTAGATGTAGACGATGACAAGTGACAAAAAAAAAAAAAAAAAAAAAAGCTAACTAAAACAAATTAAATATTGGGGCATTTTATTGTGCATGATTTGGCATAGAATGGCAAAAACTAGATGATAATTCTTAACCTTTTTTTCCCTTTAAAACAATACGAGTTAGAACTTATGGCAAACTATAGTGAGTTGAACCAGGGCAGGTAAGATGACAAATCTTCAGCTTTCAACATCCAGTCAGGTAGAAAGTAGAGTTTCATCCATGGAAAGGGTTTAGGGAAGGGTCACTTTAACGTGAAGCCATCAAGAATAGTGACTGCCACCCACACACAAAAAAAAAAAAAAAAAAGTCATCAAAATGGGATTAGGGAATCAACAATCCGTCGCAGGTGCAACTGTAGAGGCTAACTCATGAATCAGATTTTAAAATGAAATCCAAATTTGCAACTCAAATTGTATTATTATATGAAAATGCAAAGTTGATTGAATTAGGCCGTTAATTATTGACTGCAATTTAGGGGTGCAAACGAGCCGAACCGAGTCGAACTTTGGCATTATCGAGTCGAGGCTTAACTTAATTTCATTGAACTCGAACTCGAGCTCGAGCTCAACGAGCTGGTAATTTTCAAGCTCGAGCTCGAAAAAAATAAAAAATAATTATTTTATTTTTTAAAAAATAAATAAAATAATATTTTTTCTTAATAAATAATAAAATATTAAGGATATTTATGTAATTTTACTATTAAAAATAAAAATAAAAAAAATAAATATATATATACTCGAGCTCGCGAGTCGACTCGCGAGCTAACGAGCTTAATGTTTTGAGCTCGAGTTCGAGCTCGACTCTGGCTCGAGCAGCTCGAGCTCGAGTCGAGCTCGAATCGAGCCGCTCGCGAGCGGCTCGATTCGTTTGCACCCCTACTGCAATTACACCTCTAATGACGGATAATCGGCTATCGATAAATCTAAAATTTAGAATTCATATTTAAATTTGCAATTTATGCTATCTTGTGGTCTATAACACATTTGCAAATTGCACACTTATGAATTGTAGGTAAAAGTAAATTATATAGCTGGATTCCACGAAATTTGTCAATTTGGCAACGCATGTTCCTTCTTTCCTTTATTTTTAGGAAAAACGGCAAATTTTGACGAATCTAATAGTGTGTTTGGATTGTAAGTTATTTGTCCAAATATATTTGTTTACATCACCATTACAATTTCCAATACACATTTTTATCTTCCTAATTACCTTTTTATCTCACATACATCACATCATAAAAAGTGCTACGGTAAAAATATCTCAAATAACTTACAATCCAAACACACGAAAATAGACTTGAGGATCAAAATTTGACACTTTTTATTGTTAGGGATGTCAATTTAAGACTTGAAATAAATGAGGGACCAATTTGAGATATTTGAAATCGTTTAAGGACTCTGTGGGTAGTTTGCTCTTATTTTTATTGAGTTGGATGCATGAATATGAAACTCTCTAGTCTCTACTGAGGAAAAGTTTTTCCTGCAATAAATCATGAAATTCTTTAGCCCATTACAGAAGATTGAACGATTATTGTGTTTTAAGATCCATAGTCAAACATAAGATTGAAATGCACCTTAATTTTCTTACCAAAAGCAGGGAAATATAGACTTCTAATTTTGGTTTTTCCAAATAGTGTCACTTTAGAGGTTAGAAATGGGGATTGCTAGGAGTAATTAATATACAGTTTTAGAATAGATCTACATCTCTCACAGATTAGATTAGCCAAATTATTGTCAACTTCCTTGCTAAAAAGTTCTTTAATTTCTTTCTCAATAACTTACAAGAACCGCATGACGTAAATCTTACATTGTTCTAACCATAAATCTTACATACACTGATTTGACAAGACGAGCATATGGAACCAACTATGTTGAAACTTTGAGAGTTCAGGTTCATGCCAATTGCCGCTTGAGAAGAATTTATTTCTCTGACCGGCTGTATTCCGAGGAAGAACTCCCACCAGAATTCAAGTTGTACCTTCCGATGCAGGTAAAATTTAGCTACAGTTTGCATCACTACAGTTTTCAGATTTGATATAAAACCTCTTTTCATTGTAAAACTTAAAGATTTTCATGATGCTTTATTTTCAGAAAGCCTGACATGCTATTCAGAGGGTCATTGGTGCTTGACAATAGGTTGGACAAATGCTTCATGCTTCCACTGCGCATTCTGCTTGTACAAGTTTTAGAAGTTGTGTGTGATGAGTTCATCGGGAGCTTAGGTATTAATACAACACGTTTAGTGTTAGTGCTATGATGCTGGTCTTTTATGTTCCAGTTGCTGTTGGATGGACTTTGAAATAGATGGTAAGGATTTGAACTTGCTGCTGTTATATATGTAATGCTATGACTTCATGAATTACTCAACAACTTTACTGGAGAGCCTGGTGTCTGGAAATTAAATCGTCTCATCAAAGTTTGGCGAGTGCTGATTAATGTTCCCGTGAAATACTTGATCTTCATGGGAAAATAGACTTCTCTTTTTGTAATCAATCATCTGATATTGGAAACATCGTGCACACAACAGATCGGTGCTAATTGTGGCAGCAACAAATCAGGTTCTGCATCTGTTTTACGATGACCAAAAATATTTACCTGAACTTGACTTGTATTACTCAATGAAACCAGTGTGAGGGTTTCAAATGTTTGGAATGGAAAGGTACATAAACTGCACGCAGGAGCTATGCTTGCAGCTTTCCTATCTCAGCATCCACTAGGGGGCGGGGTGGTTGGTGGTGGTGGTATTCACAAACAGTCGACTAACAACATGATCATGCCTAAAGGTCGGATTTTCAAGTTTTCTGTTGGCATAAAAATTGTTGCTCTGTTTGGATTAGCGATTTTTTGAAAAACAAGTTTTTCAACTATAATGGTACAGTAATACACAAGTAAAAACAACTTCAAAAACACCAAAAATAATTTCAAAAATACCAAAAATATATAAAAAAAAACCTCAAAAACATAAAAAAAAAAGCTTCAAAAACACCAAAAACATAAAAAAACAACCTTAAAAAATACAAAAAATATAAAAAATAACCTCATCTACGGTAAAAAAGTTTTTCAACTACATTGCTGCAGTAAAATATTTTAAAAACACCTCCAAAAACAGCTACCTGTAAGAATTTTTATAAGTTCTGGAGGCGTTCCTTAATCTGTAATGATGATCAGAACTAAATCCAACCAAACTTTTTTATTAAAAAGAAGAACAATAGAAGGTATTGTTCATGGACAATATGACCTAACGTACAAGGCAACAAAAAGAAAACAATGTTGAAGAGTATAGACCGGTTGGGTATGAGAGAAAGATGTGAACGACGCGTGGAAGTGGGAGACAGAATAACGTGGATAACGTCGATGGGGACCAAATGAAAGCAGTCCACGGGCGGCTATATTTGGCAGAATCACAAGAATGCAAAAGATCAATGGAGAGGACGACAATGGACGGTCGTTGAAAAAACTGGGGTGCTTATCGACTGATTGGATTTGTTTGGTCCCCATGACTGTTGATAGATTCCAGCAATGAAACTCATATAATCAAAACCATGAATAATTTGGAAGAGGAATAATATGATTGTCACTGCAATCGTTCCTGAATAATGTTACATAACAAGGGCTCGTTTGGGAATGCGGTACGTCCGCGCAGAAAGCTCTTCTGAGAAGGAAATGCACTTTTAAGATGTTTGGTAAAAGGAATAAAAAAAAAACCAAGCTCAATGGCCGTCTTAAATCCCTCATTGAGCTGTAGGTGGGGATTCAAATCTCGCCTGCAGCGAAAAAAATTTAAGAATGTTGTTAAAGCACCCATTTGATTTAATAAGGTCTCCGGAATAGAATACGTTATATAATAGTTATCGTTTTCGGAAAAAAAAAGAAAAAAAATGGTAAAAGGGATAAAAGATTGTTTGTATGTTGTTGTAATAGATATGCTATATTTCGTTATTATTTATATAATCCCCTACATGTTAGTTGTGTTAAACAACCCCCCCCCCCCACCCTATATGTTAGTTGTGTTAAAATTATGTGGTGTTCACATGTCCTTAGATTTTAAAATTTGGCCTTGTTGTTAAATTTGGAGCTTTTTATTGCTTGGGACGGTTTATCAATTACAACCATCCTTGCCTCTTGTCCCTAACAATTCATCCTTTTTTGATTAAAAGATGAAATCTACCGGCCAATAAATTGTAAGGCACAGAAAATTGTATGAAGTGCCTGTACCATATCATTGTCGATGAGTCTTTTCTAAACAATGTTTCTTTTTGGGATAATTACAGAAACGTCCCCTGAAGTTTCTGACAATTTCACTGAACTCCCCTGAAGCTTGAAAAATTACACATACCTCCCTTGTCATTTAAAATGATAATTTTACCCTTAAATATTTTAACAAAACTCCCTTATTTGGTATGCTTATACTTAGAATAAGTTTTAAAATTATTTTTTCATTCTTTTTCCTTCTTGTTCCTTTTTAAAAAATTTTCACCAATAAAACTGTAGAACTATCACTATTACCTTTAATTTCTATATAACCAAACGTCGAACTAGCGATTTTTTTTTTACGAGTTAATTTTATGTTAATCCAATGTTTTTGATGATTTTGTTTTTATTTTTTGGTATTAAAATTAACAATAAATCAAAAAATAGCCCAAAAGCACTACTAAATTATGATAATTTCACTGCTCAAAAAATTCATAAATTTTAAATGAATTATTTCAACATTTTCTTTTCTATCTTATAAATCTAAATTCATAATAAAATACCATCAAAAGTATCATATCATAGTAATAAAATTATTATTACAACTGTTTATCAAATAATAGATATGAACATGAAAATTTTGACAACTTTTCCTTATAATTATACTAAATAATCTTATAATTATATAGAAAAATAAATCAAAACTCATTACACAAGGGCATTTTTGGATATTTATATAAAAAATCGACAGTCTATATTATTTTAAGATTTTGTTGCCAAAACTATCAAAACAAGGGAGATAAGTGTAATTTTTCAAACCTTAAGGGAGCGCAATGAAATTGTTAGAAACCTCAGGGGAGGTTCATGTAATTATCCCTTCTTTTTTAAACCATGCCGTATATCCGATTAAGTTTGTATTGACAAAGCCTTTTTTTTTTTTCCTGATTTAATTTTGAGTTAATGACCTCCTTGTTACCCGTATTTTTCATTGTATTTTAACAGTTTTCTTCTTTGACCATGTAATTCTGTTCACTAAAACCCTGAACATATTTTTCAGAAAGAAAGAATGACTGCACCCATTGTTCCAAGGAAACTCTGAATTTCATTCTAACCAAGATCTCAGAAAACTCCAATAAGGCATTTGATCAAGCTTGGAGTCTTTTAATTTTTCATCATCATGCTTCACAAAAACATAAGGGTTCTTGTTGGCCTTGTGTACAATCATCTAAGAGGAATTATTGCTCATTCTTCAAGGCCTTAAACAACAGATACTAATTCTATTACTAATTTTCATCAACATTGCATATGACCACCACAGCCATTGCAGATGTACCAAGAACCAATTCACCTGATAGTCATTTACCATCTCCAGAGCGGAGAAGCACCTCAGCAAAAGGATCTTGTAATGTACAAAACCCTGGTAGATTGCCAAAAATTCCAACCCTTGAAACATCATTCTCCGACCACAAAGAAAGGAATGCTCCTGGTGGTACAAAATTAATGCAAAATTAACAGCAAGTTATATGTATGTTATGATAGAAACATTACAGAAACTATAAATTCAATGGTCAGTACCAAAAAATAAGGACAATCGAAAATACCAGCTTTACAACCACAGATAAATCTTTGACCTATAAGTTACCAGAAAACATATGCAATACTATTCGCTATGAGTTTGTCCCTGTACTTCTCTACATGGTGATTCATAAAAATGGAGCAACACAAATTAACTTACACGCCGCCATGTCTTGAGAAATAGTCATTATCCAGTGAGATGGCTAAAGCAACAGCTACTGCTCTCTGTGCCAGAGTCAACGGATGATTCACTTGCAACTCTTGACTCTGCAATGAGGGAGCAGTTAAATGCCCATATTAACAATAGATGACATACAGAATCAGCAATTAAAAATTTACCTCTCCATCAGGATAACTGGGATCAGCAGTGCCAAATCGGATAACATACTGGCCAGCGTCAGTAAAAAGCTGCATCACATTAAGTGCAAGCACAATCAATTTGGCACCATGTAAGGAAAGTGTTCATTAGCAGCCTTCTAAGAGAATGTTTCACCAGTATTATGTCATTATTCACATAACTTTAGCAAAGAAGATATACTTTGGTATATTGATATGTTGGGTAAAGGAAGAAAAGAGGAGAGCCAAGACAAAATCTTCGGATTCCAAGAGGAACAACAGCCGTACCAAAACCAAAGTGGGAAAAACAAAAAGCAAAAAAAAAAAAAATAATAGAGGAGCAATGAGTGCACTAGGTGCAGTAATAAACCAAGGTCTGCATCATTTACCCCCAATACCACCACACCCCACCCCCCCCCCCCCAAAAAAAAAGGAAAAAAAAAACCAATAAAGTCCAAAACAAAAGAAAAGAAAGAAGAGCAGAGCTTTACTTCATATAAAGTCCAAAAAATGCCACAACAAATTGGATAGCACTAGACTCTAGTTTAGGAAACAAACATAAATCATTAACATTGAAAAACTAAACCTCAAAACCAAAACCCCTCCAGTTACGATCGATTTCAGCTAGCACTTCTCCATTAATGTCCTTCAAAGTAAATGTCCAGTTCCAGAATCCAGGATTCTCAACCACTGCAAACTGCATATTCCTACATAAGCATCAAAAAATCGTGGTTATATATGCAAAATACCATAGTATTCTTGGATAAAAATGTAATATACACTTTAGTCATAGAACCCAGCAAAAATAGGAGGGATGTGTTATATGACCAGTAAAAAGAGTATGACTAAAAAACAGATTCAATTATAAGGAGAATGCAGGAAGAGTATGTTCCAGTATAAGGAAGCATTCCATATACATTGTTATGAAATTTAAAGCTACTTCAAAAATTAATGCTTTCCCTGAATTTCTTCAAGTTACTGATTCAATTTCAACTGAGTATAAAGGATAAAGATACAAGTTTAAGGACAATACTGGAAGAGCACTTTCCAGTAAAAAGCAGCAATCTATCATATTTTCTTATGAAATTTAAAGCTACTTCAGCATTTAATATATGCTCTAAAGCTCTTCGAGTTGCTGAAAGCATAAAGCACAATAACAGAAAGCTCTGTGCTACAAAAAAAATGCAATTGCAGCAAAAGCAGACTATTGCAAAGAAGAACAACAGGCAAAAACTTTTATTGGAGGCATAGAGCATC